CTACTTACTAGCAAAATTGCTTACCTTTTTAGTACAACTCTTAAAAATGGCTGCAAAGGAAAAAGTCAAATAATGAAAAGAGGATCCCAAGTAATATGTATGGTGTAGATACCTGTCGTTGTAGATATCTGTCGGAACTGACTGCGTAGGTTTTGAATACTTACATTGAAGTTCTTTTTTATGTAAATGTTTTCTTGTTGTTGTTGTTGTTGTTAAGTGCTGTAGAGTCGGTTCTGACTCATAGTGGGCCCGGAATAGGGTTTCCAAGGAGTGGCTGGTGAGCTTGAACTGCTGACCTTGTGGTTCAAACCGACCTTACAGTTCAGTGTATTAACCCACAGCGCCGCACCAGGACTCCAGATGTCTTGTAGATTGACCTTTTCTGGCTGTGTTTGGAGCATGGTGACAGGGGAGTTGGATGCTCCACTTAGTTGGGGCTTACACTGTCTAGTTCTCATACTCTGTGGATTGTATACTCTTGGAGAGGAACAGCCTGCATTTGGAGCCACTGGAGCCCCGATAGTGCATTTTGTAATGGAGCATTATGTTATCTGAACTGCTGAGTAGGAGAATCTTCTTTTCTTTTCTCCCTGAAGAGAAAACTTCTAGAAAGCAGCAAAATGAAGTTTGTCAGTTATAGTTTATGCCAAGTTGAAAGAGTTGTTTCACGAGATTTGGTGACCATCTATCTAGCCCCAGAATACATAGTAGCATCTAGTGACACACATTTACCCATGTTTATCCCCTGGGGAAGGGATGTAATCTGTGTCTGCCTGTCTCTCAAGAAACAAGCTATCTTATTGTGACAGTCCTGTTTTAATTCCAAGTCAAAATTTATTTTCAAGCTAGCAATGCTCAGTTTTGCGATTGAAGAGGATATAGGAGTGAACTTTACAGTTTTTTATGAGCATAGATGAATCTGTTACTGGGTTCAGTTTTCCTTTTTTTTTTAAAAGAACTTTTGAAAATCTGTTTTATATTCTGCCTTTGAAAAGGTATGAAGTTGGCTTTGAATGAACAGCTTATTAATTGAAATTTCTGCCATTTTAGCTTTGTATATGTCATAAACCCATTCCATTGCCACCAAGGTGATTGCTTCAGTTCCACCTGCAGTAGAACAGAGTAGAACTGCCCCACAGGGCCTGCTGTGGCACTATAAGATAAGCCCTAGACCGCAAGGTCTGCGGTTCAAACTCACCTGCTGCCCCTTGGAAACCCTATACAGAGTTGTTAGGAGTTAGAATCTACTGACGGTGCTTAACAACAACAACAACATGTCTGATTTGGGGCAGTGCGACAGAGATGGTGGTGGCTCAAGCTGTTTTCCATTTTCTCTATCCATTTATCCACGTATCTTCGGGAAAGGACTTTTTGGTTCACTTTTGAGCTTTGTTATAACACATACAGGAAAACACCCAATTCTTATTGTTAGGTGCCATTGAGTTGATACTAACTCATAGTGACCCTATGCACAAAAGGATGAAACACTGCCTGATCCTGGGCCAACCTCAGAATTGTTGCCATGCTTGACCCCATTGATGCTGCCACTTTGCCAATCCATCTCGCTGGGGGTCTTCCTCTTTTACTCTGATCCTCCACCTTACCAAACATGGTATCTTCCTCCAGCAACTGGTCCCTCCTGACAATATGTCCGAAGTATGAGAGACCAAGTTTGACCATCCTGGCCTCCAAGGAGCACTCTGGCTGCACTTCTTCCAACACATGTTTGTTCTTTTGGCAGTCTATGGCACTTTCAATATTCTCCTCCAACACCATAACTCAAAAACATCAATTCTTCTGTGGTTTTCCTTATTCACTGTCCAGCTTTCGCATGCATATGAAGTTATTGAAAATACCATGGCTTGGGTCAGGCGCACCTTAGTCCTCAAGCTGACATCTTTGCTCTTCAATACTTTAAAAAGGTCTTGTGCAGCAGATTTGCCTAATATAATATGTCCTCTGATTTCTTAACTGCTACTTCCATGAGTGTTGATAGTTGATCCAAGAAGAATGAAGTCCTTGACAACTTCAATCTTTTCTCGGTTAATAAGAATGTTGTTTATTGGTCCAGTGGTGAGGATTTTTGTTTTCTTTACATTGAGATGCAATCCATACCAAAGGCTGTGCTCTTTGATCTTCATCAGTAAATATTTTAAGTCCTCTTCACTTTCAGCAAGGTTGTATCATCTGCATATCGTAGGTTGTTAGAGTCTTCCGCCAATCCTGTTGCCACATTTTTCTTCATATAACCCAACTTCTCGGATGATTTGCCCAGCATACAGGTTGAATAAATATGGTGAAAGAATACAAACCTGTTGCACACCTTTCTTAATTTTAAACCATTCAGTGTTCACATGTTCTGTTCAAACAACTGACTCTTGGTTCATGTACAGATTTCTCATGAGCGCAATTAAGTGTTCTGGAATACTCATGCTTCGCAATGTTTTCCATAACATGTCATGATCCACATAATTGAAAGCCTTTGTGTAGTCAATAAAGCACAGGTAAACATCTTTCTGATACTCTCTGCTTTCAGCCAAGATCCATCGGATCTTAAGCATACAACTCAATAAAATTTGCACAAGGTAAATGCCCGCATAAACATCATCTAGGTCCAGGAAAAGCATTCACCACCACTGCAAGCATTCCAGCAGTGCCCCTTCCAGTAACCACCCCTCCCCTCCAGACTTGCTCTGCCGAGTTAATTTTGCCAGGTTTTGACTTTAATATAAAAAAGCACGAGTGTATGTATTCTAGGTGCTCTCTTAAGTCTAGCACATTTTATTATGTTTTTAAGATTCATCCAAATTTTGTATTCTATCATATTAGTGTATATATCTTTTATAATTGGAAAACACAAAAAGTTGGCAGAGATTTCAGAACACATTCTTAATATACACCTTTCTAAGTCTCTCCATGCACAACTTGAAAAAAAAAATAAAACCAAAACCCCACATTTTCCCTAGGGTTGCGCAGATTCTGTTTCAGTGGACCCCAAGTTCAGGCCGGGCAGGGGCAAAAAACAGACCTACAGTGGCCTCTCAGTGTTGTTCCTGTGGTTGTTCCCAGCTCACACTGAGCTTTCCTTATATGGGAGTTCTTGCTTTAGATTGTTGTTGTTATTAAGTGCCACTGAGGCAGTTGTGACATACAGCAATCGTGTATAGGGTTTCTGAGGAGTGGCCAATAGGTTTGAACTGCCAATCCTGTGCCTTACACTGACCTTGTGGTCCATTCAGCACATTATCCTGCTGTGCCACACCAGGACTCTTTGCTTCAGATTGAGAGGAGGAAAAGAATTCTTCTTGAAAAGACTCCAGTTGAAATACAAATACACCCCACAAAATTACATGTGACAAAATGGAGACAAACTGTTGAACGGAAAACTAATTTGTTCTATTATTTATCCAGTTCACAATTATGTTAAAATGACCAAAAGTAACTTGAAGTTGCTCTTGCACCATCTGCAGCCCTCCTAAATCACCATCACCTCTGTAAATGGACATGCCTCTTGGGTTTCTTCTTTACAATCCAGCCTGGGATCATGATGGTGCATTGTCTCATGAGTTATTCTTCCCCAGATACAATGTTTATTGGAGATACTATCATGTGATTCCTGTGTCAAAGGGCTGCCTTTTCCTCCTTTCCACAGGGTGACAGGCAGACGCTGCAACGTTATTTGACAATCTCCTGGTGATGGAACCTAACTTAACATACTGTTCTTTCTTTTCTGTCACTTATTTTCTTACAGGAATGTAGATTAAAGACTAAGATATTTTGGTTATTTTTTGAAAATACATAAATGACACGCTTTTAATATTGTGTGCATTTGTTATCGAAAAGAAGTGTTGGTGGTACAGTGTTAATCATAGCCCTTGACTGCTAACCGAGAGTTATTCAAACCTGCCAGTCACTCCATGCAACAAAGATGTAGCACTCTGCTACCGTAAGGATTATTGTTAAGTGCCATTGAGTCAGTTCTGACTTAGGATTTCCAAGGAACAGCTGCTGAGCTTGAATCATCGACCTTGCAGTTCATCCATGCTGTAAGTTGTTGCTAAGTGATGTGGAGTTGATTGACTCATAGTGACCCTCTACAGGGTTTTTGAGGAGCTTGAACCACCAACCATCCGTTCAGTCAGACCTTGAACTCCAAGGCATAACCCACAGCACCACATTAGGAGGCCCCATACCGTAAGTGCCATCGAGTCGGTTCTGACCCATAGCGACCCTGTATAGGGTTTCCGAGGAGCGACTGGTGAGCATATTATAAGCCTTACAAAATTCGGGACACCGCTGTTTCCTCAGATCTGGCTCATAATTAGTCCTGAGAATTTGTTGAATGATTGACTATCCTGAGTATTCAATTCTACCAATCTCCTGTGAGTGGCTTAGAGTTACTTGTTCTCCTATTCTGAAAATGTATGTGTTTATCTTGTTCAGTGCCTTCAAGTTGGTTCTGACTTATAGTAAATCTTGTATTGGGTTTCCAAGAGGTAGGTGATAAGCTTGAACCGCCGACCTTGTGGTTCAAACCAACTTTGTAGTCCAGTGCATTAACTCCCAGCGCCACAGATGGAGGCATGCCTTTCTAATGTCTTTTCCATTCTAAAGACTAGCCAAGACAAGGACTGCCCACTTGTTCTCTTGCTGGCTGTGTGGGTGTTCTGAGGCTAACACTAACTAACCTCATGGTTGATGAAGAATTTGATAATTCTTTTTTTACTTTCTGTTTTTCACTGCTACATGACACACATGTTCCTTTGGCAACTTACCTGCCTTCCCCCCGCCCCATATGTACTTAAAAGGAAAAGTGTGTGTTTTATAAGTTATAAATCGTCAGAATCAATTCAGGTTCTGGGATGATTACTTGTTTACTGGCTTTATTCACAGGTTTTAGAAGCAGGAATCCTAAGTGAGTAAGGAGGATGTTGCCATGCTAAAAAGATCTCTTGTAGTTCAGTCTGTCTTTTCACTCCCTGCTCCTTCTTAACTTTCAGAGCATTAGACAAACTGAATGGATTCCAGCTGGAGAACTTCACGTTGAAAGTGGCCTACATCCCTGATGACATGGCTGCCCAGCAGAACTCCTCCCAACAGCCCCAAAGTCGCCGTGGGCTTGGGCAGAGGGGTTCATCGAGGCAGGGATCCCCAGGATCAGTGTCCAAGCAGAAACCATGTGACTTGCCTCTTCGGCTATTGGTTCCCACCCAGTTTGTGGGAGCCATCATAGGAAAAGAAGGTGCCACCATTCGGAACATCACCAAACAGACCCAGTCTAAGTGAGTATTCCCAAGTGTGTGATGGGTGTTTGTGTGTGCACCTCTGAATCTTAATAACAGGGTATGTTGTTTTGGTACCAAGTACCATGTCCTTCAGAACATGGTTATGATCCCTTCTTGTACAATACTTAGGAATCTGGGAAAATGTAGTGATTTGATATCTGTGTTCATTTTATACAAATCTGGGGCTAAACTTTATACCCAAAGGGGAACTTGAATTTTTACACATGAATGGAGAACAGATGCTGCTTCTGAGGGGGTGGGGGAGGCCCTGGCCAACTAGAGGGCAGCCTTTAGGTTTTTCTCTGTTTCTCCATTTGATACCTGCCTTAAGTACTTTAAGAAGTAATTTTCTAAGTCCAATCCATTTTGGTCATTGGTGGCCTCAGTACAAAGATCATTTTCAGTCTTGTTTTATTTTTAAAGGTAGTTCATCTTACGGTTCAGATTTATCCTATGGTTAAGCTGTGTAGTTAGAATGACATTTTCTTGAGGATATTGACCATTTTAATAAGCAGGTTTTAAGGGAGTTGGAAGGGGCTTGATCAAACATTGGAAATGATGAGTAAATATTTGACATTATTTACTCAGGTAGTCCCAGTACTAAGTGCATTGCCTGATATGTATAGAAGGTATCTGACAAATTAGTGAAATTATTGTATGTTGTGTTATGTTTAATTTCCTTTCACTATATGTAATATCAAATGTATTTTATATTTAAATGCATTGTACATTAGTTAATATATATTGTTTTGCTTTATAAACCATACCTGTTGTGTGGTATTTGAATATTTTGACCCAGAAAAGCTTATTGATGAACTGCCTCTCCACCCCTAGTTCTGTGAGGTGCTACCAGCCACATCTGTGGGACTACTGTTGCCATATTTTCTGAAGATCTTGTGAGTTTACTAGTTAGAAGAGGTTGTATATATACACTTACCACCATTCTTCATAAAGAGTTGGGCCTGGCCTTGGACTAGCTACAGAGTTAATTGAATTAATTTTTCCTTTTTAATTCATTAAGTGTCATTTGATGTGTACTCTGATAAATGAAGCATGGTTCTTTTCTGAAAGTAGAGCTACAGTGCTGTGTACATGTTTGCTTCCAGGTTGGCTCCAACAGGTTTAAGATAATATGCATATTCATAAGAGCAGGTCTGCACTGAACTAGTCATGGCACTGTGGGTTAATGTGCTCAGCTGCAAAGTCAGTTTGAACCGCAAGGTGGGTGGTTCAAGTTCATGGGTTGCTCCTCGGAAACCCTACACAGGGTTGCTGTGGGTTGAAACCAACTTGACGGCACTTAATGACAACTTATTTCTCAGTGTAGAACCAAAATGAACTATTAGGGTTGCATACCCACCCTATCTATAACATTCTGCTTCGTTGGGTTCCAGTTATCTGTGTGCCAAATCACCGACCCTGACCACATGATGTTGGAGGTGGGGAAGAAAACTGAACTATAGCTTAGGTCAGTGTTCTTGGTTTAAGTCTTAAAATTTAAGTGATTTGGTTTCCTTTGATCCACCTTTACTTACAGAAACTTTTCAGATGGTTTCCTTTACTTGTCACGTGGCAGATTAGAGTGGTTCCTTTTAGCTCTACTCATTTCCCTGTCAGATGAAAGAGCTACTGTGCTTTACATTGTACTGTTTGTTTTATTTAAGGCAGGAAGATGGGGGATGGAGAAGGAAGGGAAGTGATTTTTTTATATCCGATGATTCATTTGCAGAGCTCTGCCAGTAGGTTTAATGAACTCTTGCCATTGAAACTAGTCATTATTAAATCCTCTGTTTCTGAAAGGGCTTCAGAGGGCTGCCCTAATCTACAAAGCAACATTCCCTATGCTCAGAGGACCAGAGTTTACGTCTTTAACAGAATGAAAGGGTGAAAATCAACTGGAGAAAGGGCGATTAACATGTTACCAGAAGACAGGTGTTACTTACAGTGATAGGGTATTGAAATCATGACTGGAAAGATGGTTTTTGAAGCTGGGATGGTTGTACCAGACACTGTCTCTTAGTATTTCTGAGAAGCTCTTGTTGCTTCATTTCTATGTGGCCCTAAGTCTTTACTTATGAGGTAAATCTCCAGCATTCAACGTAACATTCAGGAACCTGTAATCTGTAATAGAAGCCTCGGTTTCATTGGCATCAGGTGATGTTCTGCAAGCTATGGAGCTCTCCGTATCGTCTAGTGTTACAGTAGGTTAAAGGACTCTTACATAGTTGTTTCCTAAAACATACGCCTTTTTAATAGTTTCTTTCTTGTGCTTTTTAAACAACAAACTTACTTTGCGTTAAATTCAAAATGCACAAGGACATGTTTTTTTTGGTTTTGTTTTTTTAAGATGTTATCCATTGTCTCACCTCTGAAGTTGCCATTTTTAAGTCTCCTCCTTGTACAGTGAACAGTATTTCTCTCTAGTCATATTAGCTCTTTTTTTTCAAACTCAGGTATATAAAATAATTTACACCACCAAAAGGCACATTCTGCAAGTCTGCCTCCTGGCTGCCTGCTCTCAGTCCCTCTCTTGGCACGAATCTAGAGTCCTCAGTTGCTCACTCGCTCCATGTCCCCATCTCTGCCTCCATCTCTGGTGTCACTGCTTCTCTGGATAAGGTGTACCATTCCACTTGTGCTCTTCCCCTTGATGGTCCTAGGGTCCTCTGCTTCTGGATTGTAAGATTAACTTCTCCCCCATTTTTTTTTTTTTTTTTAATTAGGTTAAACTTTTATTGGGCTCAAAGGATGACTTCAATAGTACAGTTCAAGGTTTAAAGATTTCCTTGGGATAACACTTTTAGGGGGTTATCCAGCCTCTGTAGCTCCAGGAAGTCTGGATTCCATGAGACTTTGAAATTATTGTTTTTTTAAATGTTTTATTGTGAATTATGTGATACTTTACATGAGAGAGCATTAGTTTTACATTCATCCTATTGTATATCGTTTAATTGCCATGGTTACAATCCCCTCCATGTATCATCAACCAACCAAAGGGTAAACACTACAAACCTCTCTCTCCTCCCCCCCCCCCCCACTCCCCCGGTCATCAGCACACAACCCCTCACCCTCTCTGTGTCTAAAGTCCCCAGTTGTTCCATCTCTCTACGTCATCATCTCTGCCTCCATCTCAGGCATCACTGCTTCTCTAGGTAGGGTCCCACTCTCCACCTTTTTCCCTTGATGGTCCCAGGGACCTCCGCTCCTAGACTGAAAAGTTAATCACTCTGCTTCTTGCTACAAAACGTCTACCTTTACATTTCCAACCCTCACAATCAGTCCTGATAACAATTATTCATTATTGTATCACAAGAGACCTGTCTGCATTTCCTTTCATCAGCCCTGCCTAGACAGATTGGATACTACTCAGTGGAGATTCTACCTTCCTCCATGCCCTCTGGATCTAGGTTCCTTCTTTAAAGCTTGTAAGCCAGTTACTTCTTGCCTTTGTGGGTCGCCCCCCCATTTTGGGTAGCCAATGTCCAAGTTGTCCATCCCTGTCTACTCTGTGTGTGGAGGGGGGGGGTGGGAATGATCCTTGCTGTAAAGATTTGTTTCTTATTTTGAGCTACTGCATCCATAGGTGTAAGTCAAGTTCATCAAATTGTCTCCTTCTGGTTGAGCTCTGATCATCAGGTCATTGAAGCCAGGTCAAGTGGGTTTATCTGCACGTGTGGGTGTTCTTATGCATATGCCCTCTCTTCTTATCAGCTGGACGCTTCACTCTCCACTCCAGTCCTCTATGGCTATGTCACTGACTGTGGACCCAAGAGTCCCCAGGTCTTGCCACACTGCTGGCCAACCAGGTCTCCACCTGGGTTCATAGGAGTCTATTAAGCATTGTAGGGCTTAGCTCACCACTTCATTGCTGTTTTTCCCTCACTTTCCTTTATCGGTGATGAATGTGGTCACCAATCAGAGCGTGTATTCCCATTGAGTCTTAGTCTTGGAAGAGTCTTGCACTGAGGGGACCCAACCACTTGCCTTGATGTCCCCTGGGTACTCCCGCATATTTGTTACACAACGTGTACCTTTATGACTGTGACAGTTGCAATTAGTCATGATAACAAAATTACTCACTTTTGAGTCATAAGAATCTTACCCCATCTCCTTTCACCAGACCCATCTAGACAAGATGAAAAGTATTCAGTGTGGACTCTATCTTCCCCCACACACTCTGAAACTATACTCCCTCTTGAAACCATGTAAGCCAGTCACTCCGTGCCTTTATCGTCCCCTCTTTTTACGTATCCTATGTCTAGGTTGCCCGTCCCTATCTACCCTGCATACAGAGGGGATACCATTGATACTTGATGTGAAGACTCCTTCTCTCTCAGATGATATTTAGAGTTACTACCTCCATGAGTATACTTGGAGCTGTCTGTATTACCTTTAGTAAAACTTTACTCGCATGGGGTATCAAAGATATTGTCCGATGCTTTCTGCATTCCGTTGGGTCACATCTCTTTGGAATGGGTACAAATATGGATCTCTTCCAATCAGTTGGCCAGATAGTTGTCTTCCAAATTTCTTGGCATAGATGAGTGAGTGCCTCCTGTGCCACCTCACTTTCTTAAAATAGTTTAAGTTTTATTCCATCAGTTCCTGGAGCCTTGTTCTTTGCCAATTTCTTCAGTGCACCTTGGACTCCTTCCTTCAGTATCATTGGCTTTTGATCATATACTACCTTTTGAAATGTTTGAACATCAACCATTTCCTTTTGGTACATTGACTCTGTGTATTCCTTCCATCTTCTTTTGATGCTTTCTGCATCATTCAGTAATTTGTCCAGAGAATCCTTAAATAACGTAAGTCGAGGCATGAATTATTTCTTCAGTTCCCCCAGCTTGAGAAATGCTGAGCGTGTTCTTCCCTTTGGGTTTTCTGACTCCAGATCTTTGCAAATTTTATTGTAAAATTTGATTTTATCTTCTTGAGTGGAAACAGCTGTAAGCATACTTTAACCAAGAACTTCCAGAGGTTCCAGCTGGATTCAG